GAAGAAATGACGAACGTCTGAGAAGAAAGACGGCAATTACCCCAATCTGATCCCGGCACACTGGATACATGTATTTAAATGTCACAGTGTACTCCATAAAATCCATAATTGCAATATGTCAAATAGAATAAAAGGTACAGTGTAAAATGAGAATAATTAGCACTAGAGGCTGGGGGTGTGGCTCAGCAGCTAACATGCTTACGTCTCGAACATGAGGGCCAGAGTACAGATCCCAAACCCACACAAATATGGATGGCCCTTTAATTCCAGCCTGGCAAAGCAGAGACATGGGATACCCAAAGCAAGGCGGCTAGAAAGATGAGCTCGATCAGTGAGCTCTAGGTTTGACTGAGAGTCCCTGCCTCGAAGGAAAAGGTGGAAGGTTGATTGAGGAAGATTTCTACCATTAACTTTAGGCTTCCAAACATGCACACACACACACACACACACACACACACACACACACACCACAGAGAGACACAGGAAAAGACAAAGACCATAAAACAAATAAGTTATGTCAGTTTTGGTCCTCAACTCGCCACAATCTAGAATCAGCCGGGGAACAGAGCCTCAGTGAAGGCCTATCTTGATCAGGTTGGTCCACGCGCATGCCTGTAAGGGTTCTTCCTAATTGGGTTAATTTAGGTGGGAAGGCCCACCACCTACTCTTTGGTTTGGGGTCCTGGCCTGTGTATGGGGAGAGAGGAGCCTGAGCAGAAGCAAGAATGCTTGCACTCTTTCTCTCTGCTCTTCACTGTGGCGGCCCGTGAGGTCCAGCCTTGATTCCCAGAAACGATGGCCCGTGGGCCTAGTAACCCTTCCTTACAATTACTTTTGTCGCGTGTTCAACGGAAACAAGCCTGAGACAGGTCTACCCTTGCATGACACCGGAGCCCTCTGCAGTCCATCCCTTCACTAAGCACTGTTGCCCTAGCTCTAGGTCCTTCGTATGCAGTCAGGACAGGAAGGAGGTCAGCATATGCCCTGCAAAACTGACCGCTTTAGCACGAGGACTATTTTGAGCTGAAGGCAGCTGAGGGGCAGCAGCTGTGGGAAGAACACTCTGCCCTGCGCATTCAGCATGCAAGCCAAGTATAAACGCCCCTTTCATAAAGGGCTCCTCCCTCCCCTCCTGCAAGAGAAGGGCTGGATCACTAGGGAAGGCATGGAATGAGTCTACACTCAGCCCTTACCTGTCACTCACTTCCTGGCCATACTTCCACTTTCAGGAGCCCCTCTCCACCTGCTTTATAGAGTGACTTCTTCGCAATTGATTGCCCTTTGTTAAAATGATATCTAAGCTCCCAAACTGAACCTCTTCTTTGGAGTTTTCACTTCTTTCCTTTGAGGACTCTCTGCACACAGAAATATCGCTAAAATGTGAGTGCTTTTTTTCTTGTTAGCACATCTTTAGTCAGTTTAGCCTGAGGCCCCAGTTACAAACATCAACAGAGTCTAAGCCTAATTTCTAAGTAAGAATGTGTATTCTCTAATATCCAATGCTACTGTAGTTTTCATGGGTATTATGTCCTTGTGCAGACCAAAGACTCTCTACCTGGAATTACACTCAGTGTCTTAGTTAGGGTTTCTATTGCTGTGATGAAACACCATGACCAAAAATCAAGTCGGGGAGGAAAGAGTTTATTCCGCTTATATTTCCACATCACTGTTCATCATTGAAGGAAGTCAGACAAGAACTTAAACCGGGCAGGATCCTAGAGGCAGGGGCTAATGCAGAGGCCATGGAGGAGTGCTGTTTATTGACTTGTTCATTGTCAGCTGGTCATCCTGCTTTATTATAGGATCCGGGACCACCAGTCCAGGGATGGAAGTACCCACAGTGAGCTGGACCCTCCCCCATCAACCACTAATTAAGAAAATGCCCTACAGCTGGATCTTACAAAGGCATTTTCTCAGTTGATGTTCCCTCCTTTCTGATAACTCTAGTTGGTGTGCCAAGTTGACATAAGACCAGACAGCAAACTCAGGAATTAGAGAGTCAAATTTTAAGAAGAAATGGACTCTACCCTTGAGTGGGGAACAGGAGCAAAACAGATATGTAAACATATTTCCTCAAGATTGAGGAAAGGAGTCACTGGACAGTGGGCCTTGAGTGCTATAGCCCAGTCCTACCTGTAGTCTCAGTTTCTCCTCCCTCCCTCTCTCTATTTCTCCCTCCCTCCCTCCCTTCCTCTTCCTGGTCCACTGAGATGTGAGCAAGCAGCTGCCACATACTCCTGCTGCCATGGAGCCAGTGATCACCACACCCTCCCTGCCATGATGAACTATAGCCTCACAAATCATGAACCTGAATAAGCCCCTCCCCTCTGACATGGCTTTTTATCTGGTATTTGGTTACAGCAATTAAAAAAAAAGTAATTCAGGGTTCATGAAAGAGATAGCCCTTGAACTAAGCCCCAAAGATGAATAGATATTTCCCAAGTTGGAAGACCAGACAAGAGAAGAGGATCCTTCTGGGTAGAGGGAGTCATGTGAGCAAAGACTCGGAATGTTTGCAGAGCTGAACATGGCTCTATGAGCCTTCATTCCTTCTAGATATTCAAGATAGCATGGTGTGGCATTTAAGGGCGTGGGCTCTGGGGCCTGAGTCAAGTCTCAGCTTCTCCACCACTTACCAGACTTGTGATTAGAGCAAGCCATTTTACTGTTTGGACCTTAAACTAAAGTACAGACAATAATTATGCATGTACAAAGCTAAGAATACAGTAAACCAAGGCATTAAGAACTATATCCAGCATTGTATATATGTTAGCTATTATTTACACATGTGCTTTTTCCACTTTGCCCACTTGGGGACATTTAAATAGATTCAATCATACTGTTTGTGTTTTATGAGGATTTTTTTTTTAGTTTATATGATATTCTGTGAAATTCATACATATAAAAGCATTCATCTGGAGTTCATTAACTTTTTCCCTTAGCAAACCATCAACCATGCACAGCTTCTCTCAGGTGATTGTGAAATCTGGAGACCGAAGTTTTCTTATATGTTACCATGTTTTAGATCTCTACACTCAAGGGAGCTGTTGAGCATCTGCCCTGAGCTTGTGAGCTGTTTTTAAGACATCTCAATTGAAGCAGAGGAGCCTGGAGGAAAGATACTGGTTTAGGATGTGAACTATCCCCCATGGGCTCACATGCTTAAATATTTGTTACCCAACTGGAATATTATTGTGGGGAGTTGTGAGACCTTTAGGAAGTGGATCTTCACTGGAAGAAGTGGATCACTGAGACAGTATTGTAGGATATACACCAGCTGTTCCCTCTGCTTTCTCACTGCTGATGGGCTGTAATCAACCACACCATATCTGCCACCACAAATGTAAGCCACTCCCACCATCATGGCTTCCCCTTTCCATGATGGACTGCATCCTCTCAAACTGTGAGCCAAAATAAAAATTTCCTCCCTTGCAATGTTTCTTTCTGGTATGATTTTCTATTATAGCAGCAATAAAAGTAACTGATTCAAGTACTGAAGGTTCCTGAAATTTCATATAGGGCATGAGTCTTATTCAGCATTCTATTACTGTGAAGAGACACTATGACCATGGCAACTCTGTAAAAGAAAGCATTTGATTAGGGCTTGCTTACACTTTCAGAGGTTTAGTCCATTATTATCATGGCAGGAAGCATGGAAAAATGCAGACAGACATGGTGCTGGAGAGGTAGCTGACAGTTCTACATCTAGATCTGTAGGCAGCAAGAAGAGAGACACTGGGCCTGGCATGAGCTTTTAAAACCTCAAAGCCCACCTCCAGTGACACACTTCCTCCAACAAAGCCACACCTCCTAATTCTTTCAAATAGTGCCACTCCCTAAGCCTTCAAGCATATGAGCTTATGGAGGTCACTCATATCCAAGCCACCAACCACAGCACGGTGAAGGTGCCTTCTGCATCTCCATTGGGACTTTGGTTAGAGAAGCGCTCTAAGATGCCGTGTAGGGAGTTTAGGTTGGATGATTAGAACAGGAACTTACTGTGCACTGTGTGTGGTTCTGATTTGTTTGAATTATCCTGTTTAGTCCTCAAAACAAGCCAAACAAATGAGCACATTTGTTTGCTAGGCCTGTCATAACAGAATACCACAAACAGGTGGGTTACAACAGTGCCCCGCTACTGCATTGTTCTAGACCGGAAGCCTGAGGTCAGAGTGTCATCAGAGATGGTTCCTTCTAAGGGATGGAAGAGAACACACACCCAGGCCTCTTCCCTAACTTCTTGTAGATTATTGGTAGTCTTTGGCACTGCTTTGTAGACCTCTACCTTTGTCTTCCTGTGGTCTTCTCTTCTTCCTGTGTGTGTCTTTCTTTGAATCTCCTCATTTTATAAGAGGCCTAATCATATTGGATTAAGGACCCCTACTCCATTATGACAATGGCCTCATCTTCACCAGTCATATTCATTACAAGCCCTATTCCCAAATAAGGTCACACGAGGACTCTAATACCTGGTTTTGGAAGGACACAGTTTCACTTGTTGAGAGGTAGGGAAATCCACCCAGAAAGGTTATAGTGACTCGTTGACAGGGGTGACTGTGACCAAACCCCTGACAGAGACAGCTTAAGGGAAGAAGGGTTGTTTTGGTAAAGGGTTTTAGGATCCAGTCCATCATGGCTGGAAAACATGGTGGCGGGAATGAGAGGCAGCTGGTCTCATTGTGTCTGCAGTCGGGAAGCAGAGAGCTGAATGGTGCTGTACAACTCACTTTTTCCTTTGTATTCGGTCCCAGACCCCAGCCTATTGGATGGTGCTTCCCACTTTGAGGGTTGGACTTCTCTCCTCAGTAAGCCTCTCTGGAAATGCCCTCACAGACAGGCCCAGAAGTGTGTCTTCTAAGTAATTCTAAATCCTACCAAGTTAAGAATGACCACAGCAGCATGTTTACTTAGTGGTTCTGACGCGGGAGGTAGTAGGATTTCTTCAGATCCAGTAGCATGCCATAAAGCTGCGTACTCAAGAGGCAATGGAATGATCTCTGGAGTCTGCCACTTGCCATCTCAGGACTTCAGGGTCTTCACTGCTCTGTATGTGTGGTGTTAGAGGTGCACACCTCATGAGATGTGATAATCAAAGAACCCAGGACAGCGGCAGAGAAAGGGAACATGTGATCAGAATCAATACCCATGCCCCCTTCTCAACTGCACAAGATGAAACTCTAATCCACAATCAGATTTCTTACGTTTGTTAACTCACTGGAAATATCATGCACATCAGAACCGGGGTACGGAGGTGGGCGGCCAGAAAAAAGGAGATCCAGGGCAAAGGAGAGCCCTGCTGTCTGCCTCTCGCTGTTCTTCAAGGGAACACTGTTGGCTTTGGGGACAGTTCCTCCTGCCACACTGTCTTGCCCATTGCAGAAAGCTTCCTGCCCTGAGAGGCAAGACACCATGTACCATAAATTATCCTGTCATTGCATAACCCCGAACACACAGAGCATGTCCAAGCTCTCTCTGACCTGCAGTTCCCGCCATGGTTGAGGTGACTGGTGATCCCAGAAAGACTTTGGGGAACCCCCCATAGACACCAGTTCATAGATGGACCCTCTATAATGCTGCTAGCCCATCCTTGATGATTCTTGACCCCTGGGTTAACTGCTTGACTTGCCTAGTCCTACTATGAAGATTCCCCTTGGGGAACAACTGGCATCATTCCAAAGAAGCTACAGAAGGAAGAGGGACAGACTCTCAATTTGAAAGGTAACACTTTCAAAAACACACGGTAAACAAGGCTCCAAAAATAAACACTCGGTCAACAGTAGCTCCTCAACCGTCACCGCCGGTTTGCATCTTCTGATCTAGGAAAGCCCCAGATGAGGTTGTGGTAGAATCTGTTGGGTAGCTGACTGCAAACCACCAGAGGTCACGTGAAAGTTGAGCTTTACCTCCCTTTGGGAGGGACTGCTGTTTTTTTGTGGGGTTTTTTTTTTTTTTTTTTTGGTTGTTGTTGTTGTTGTTTAAGCTACATTGTCTTTGTCTTTTTTATTGTCCTCTACTGATAAAAGTCCTAAGTATGGAGCTGAGTGAATATTATGCAATGGACATTGTTTGACACAGACTGATTATCTGCTCACTAATAGTAGGCTTAATAGAACTAGTAACAGCCTAGGTGAGAACTATGGTTGGTTCAGCTCTAAGGTTCCCTCAAATGCAAGAGGATTACAAAAAAGAAAAAAAAACCATGCAACTATTGCCGAGTGAAACAAAAGCTCGTGTCTTCCAAACGCAGGCTTTGGTGGAGCACAGGGTTTGCTTTACCTTCAGATAAATCGTCACTGAAGCAAAAGCAAGATACGAGAAATGTGAGCCTCTCTCTCAACACTACCCATTGTGTTGAGATTCATAAGCAGGAAAGCTAAGAGCCCACCGTCCTCTTTAGAAATATGAAAGTTGGTGCTTTGAAGTCGAACTCATCGCACTCAGCCTGAGTGATATCGATGTCCGGATCCAACCGGATCCGCACCCTCCTTCCACACAAGTTTTTCTTCTCGGTGGGGAGAAGAATTACCTCACCTGGAATTCACTCTGCAAAAGATTGCAGAAGCCTTTTCGTATGAATGAAGCTGCTTTCTTCAGGGCAGATGCGGAAGCTGCCCTCCCCGGGGCTTGGGCAACCCACGGGGGCGGGGGGTAGGGTGTTGCCTCCCAAGCAGTGTGGCTGCTCAGAGCTTCAGCGGCTGCTGGTGTGTCCTAGGTTTTGAGTGCCTCCAGCAACCTGTCCTCCCACAATGCAGTTCCTTGACCCTGAGGAGTTTCTGGTGGATGAAGAGGATGACGTTTTTGGTGAAGGTAAACACATCCCTCTGGCAGGAGCCAGGTTGTTGTGCTTTGATTCTACAGTGTGGGAAACTTTGGAGTGCTTTGAAATGGTGAAGACTGAGTAGTCTGAGTGAGAGGGTCAGAACAAGACAAGGAAGGGGCACTGCTGTGGGGTGACTTTCCAAAGACTGTCTTTTTGAAGGATTACAACTAAATATGTATTTATCTATTTTTTTCTGCATTGGTGTTTTGCCTGTGTGTATGTCTTTATGAGAGCGTTAGATCCCCCTGGAACTGGAGCTTGTGAGGTGCCATGTGGATACTGAGAATTGAACTTGGGTCCTCTGGAAGAGCACCAGTGCTCTTGACTGCTGGGCCATCATCTCTCCAGCCCCTAGTATTACAACTAAATAAGGATTTGCTTTAGGCCAGAAAGTAGAACTGAGTTTTTACTTTGTCCCTCATCTGTGTTCTCTTGTGTGACATCCAAAGGGAAGCCTGCCACAGTGTTTTGTGCGTAGGAACTGAATGAACGGGGCAGGAGGGCTTCTACCCTCCCCAACCCCACCTCCTCCCCTCCTTCTATTTGGCTATCCCCCCTCTTTTCATTTGAGGGAGGGGGATATTGAAACCTGTGAGTTCCTGATGCCACTGGTACTGCTTAGCATTCCATCTCCGTTCACAGCTCTGCCGTCAACTGTGCGGTGGTCAGGCTTAGTGTTTTAAATGGGTGGGTGGTTACCTGCAGATGTCTCATTCTGAGGCAGCGGTGAGACAGGCCATAGGCAACAATCTTTTGAGAATTTGGAATTGCCTGAATGGATGGGAATTGGGATAGAAGAACCGCAGAAATTTGATTATTATTTTTCATAAATTACCATGTCTTGCACTTTTTTTAAAGTCTCTCAAGTAGAGTCCTCAAAGGAGCGGGGGGGGGGGGTGCACCCTGTCTTTGAAGCATGTGTCATATGGGATGAACCTGTAGTTCACCTAAGTCAAACTAAAGTGTGTGTGAGGAGAAGCCCCATGCTCCAGCCGGCTAGGAGATGCTCGTTATCTGCATTTGCTTTGTTTTAGCCACAGAATTTAAATTTAGAGTTTATGGGTCAGGTACGGTGACACGTGCTTGTATTCCCAGGTGGAGACAGGGGGATCGGGAGTCAAGGGCATCCTCAGCTACATAGTGCATTTGAGGCCAGCCTGGGCTACATGTCTCAAAAGGAAATGTAAACAATATAATATAATAATAATGTAGGCCAGGCATGTTGGCACACACTTCTAATCTCAGCCTGTGGGAGGCAGAAGGAAGAGGATGAAGCATTCAAGGCCAGCCTGGGCTACATAGTACAATCTTGTTAGAAAATAAATAAATAGATAGATAAATAAATAAATAAGTAAATAAATAAATAAATAAATCATGTTATAGGTTTTTATCACAACTTATATCGGTGTGAGGAGGGATACCTGCTGAGCGTTGCTGTCGGTGACCAGGGTCCCCATCTGCTGCCTGGCTTGACTGACAGGCACCGAGAGCTGCAGGTGCTTTCAGGTGGGGCGTTAGGCGCTGTTCTTGCATTTCCCTTCTCTGGTTGGTGGTCACCTACTTAGACACCAGGTTAACTACAACTAGAAAGATTCACCTAGATCGGATAATCTCCTAGTTTTTCAGTCACTTTCCCCTCCAGGGTTGACATTCTAGAATGCCCACTCCACATTTTCCTACCCAAAGGGATGTTTCTCCTTTTGCATCCAGCTGTGGTGCTGAAGAGCACCATCTATCTGCAGGCTAGTGTATAACCTTAGCTCATACATGGCCTCGTCCTGAAAGGAAGGTTGGCTAGCAAGATCTTCACAAAGCAGGGCTCCGAGACCCTGCAGGTCTTTCTCCTGAGCACTCGCAGCTGTTAAGATCATTTAACATGCTTTAATTATTATCTTATGTGTGGGGGTTGTTTGCCTGCATGTATGTCTGTGCACCACATGCTTGATGTCTGTGGAGGCTGGAAGATGGGGTAGGGTAGGATTCCTCAGGAACTGGAGTTACAGACATTGATAAGCTGTCATTAGGTGCTGGGAATCAAATCCAAGCCCTCTAGAAGAGGAGCCAGTGCTCTTATCCACTGATCCCCTCCATGTCATTATTTTAACCGCATTGACTGGGTGCCACACCAGGTCTAGACTTGAATTCTAGCTCTGCCTTGCCCCACCTTTCCAATGTAATGTCTGTCTCCTCAATGGCAGCAGGAGGCTGTAGCATCTACTTGGTTATACAGATTAGCGTCATCGTGAGGTCATAACAACTTGTCTTGTTCTTCAGTGGATCGTGTTGTTTAACTTACTCCCTGGAGACTGAAGTGAATCCTTCGAGAATAGCAATCAGTATGCTTTCATTGGTTTTCAGAGTCATGGCTCACTGCTAGTTCATGTGGAAGCTGGCCCAGCTTGCGTCTCACTTGAGGAAGTGCTGTGCAGACTCCGCCTGGCTTTTGCCCATTAATCTGGTTTGTGACCTCAGACAGACTGTTTAACCCCTTTGTTCTCCAGTTTACACACTTGGGAAATGGAGCACAGGCCTCCTAGAACTATGTGCAGATTAACTCCTATTACAGAGAAGTCCTTAGGATAATACTCGGTGAACGGCAGTGTACTTACCACTGTGTTTACAAATGTATGCTCAGGTAATAGAATGGGGATTTTGTTGTCCCCTGTCGTATATAGGTGTGGGAACACGGGCAGGTCATTTATCCTCTTTGAGCCTCATTCTATATCGAAAACACGAGTTATACATTCTCTGAAACCTCAGTTTTGTTTCATTTCTATTCTGTTACTAAATTATTTTAGCTAGGATTCAAAATAATGGGTTTCATTTTCACACATATGTACATATATATGTATATAATATACATATACATATATATGTATACACACACACACACACAATTGCATTCTGCTCGTACTCTTCATCCCCCACTTGAACTGTCTTGGCTGAGACCTCCTGTCTAAACACCTCAGATATCTGCCTAACCTCTGCATCATGACATTGTCACGGGAGTGAATGACCAGTCCAGGTCTCCCTGGGTTTTCTGCTCCCTAACCTACCCAAGAAAGCAGAGCACTCCCATACAGTGAGTCCCTTCCCACACACAGAAGGGAACCACTCAGGAAACTTGTTGTTAGGGCAACCATGTTTCTTTACAGCTGACATGGTTTTCTGCCTGTCTGTTTGTTTTTTAAGGAAACATTGTCCCCCTAAAAAAATACGGTCTACAAGTTTTGTGCAGATACAGAAAGATCTGAAAAGGAAAAAAAAAAAAAAAAAGTAGTCCTTACAAGGTGTTTGTTCACCGACTCTCTGAGATCCTGTTTGTTCTCTGTGGTTAGAGAAAATGTGAAGGTTCACAGAACTAAGAAGCAGTGGTGTGCCACTCTGTTGTTATTCTACAAGAAGGAGAGAGAGAGAGAGAGAGAGAGAGAGAGAGAGAGAGAGGAGAGACTGTTCACCCACACGTAACACACATTTTTTCCACAACTCTATTTCTGTCTCTGTCTCTACCTCCCTCCCTCTCTCCGTCCCTCCCTCCCCACCCCCACCACACACAGCCTTAAGTGTGCTTTCTAGACATCCGCAACATTATTGTGTCGTTAGAAGTAGGCAGTAACTATAGAGGTGACCTTCCTTGGAAAAGTGGGCAAATGGATGATTAAGATATTGAAAAGCAGTAACCGGCACTAGTGGCCGTTCTCTTTCTGTTGTTCCATGCTGATCAAATGAAAAGGATTCCATCCACGTTATTGCCAGGCGGTCTTGACAGCGGGCTGGTGAACATTGGTGGACGCCCCTGTATGGATTATCTTGGTAATGATAACTTGGTATGATGATGGCAACTATCGCTGACGAAGGCCCCACCCAGCTGGGGAGAAGAGAACCACAGTCAATCACGTGTGAGAAGAATCAGTTCTCAGGTGGGGGTCAGTCAGCCTGTTGGCATGAAAATTACACCTTCGCAGCCGTTACCTCCTTTTTTAGAAGCTCCAGCCTTGGCTGCTTCCATTTTCAGAACAGCTCAGTGGCTGCAATCCAGTGAGCTTATTAGAACAGTAAAACACTCAGTTCCCAGTATGTGTGCGAAAGCGCTTATATTCCCATAGCTCTTAAGATCTCCCTGTAAGACCACATCCAACTGCAAAAGTTTCTGTTCCCAGAGCTGGTAGAGTACATGATATCAGAGGTGTACCCTATTCTGGAGGAACTTGCTTCAATCCCCTCAAAGGCTTCTAGAAAGAGATGGACTGGCTGCCTGTGGCACTTAAGACTTAAGAGACCAGCGGATGTCTGGAACAAATTCACTCACTTTTGAACAAAATTTCTTACCTTTCCCCACGAAAGTCGGTCTGTATGCTTTCCCTTCCAATGGGAACTTCACCTCAGAGCAAGAGGATCTCAAAATGTATCAACCAAAGAATTATACTGAGGATGCAGGCTTGAGTTTTTTAAAACAGGTAAAAACTACACAATGTGTTGTAATTTAGTATATTTTGATATTATGTTATGAATTACATTTGCCCCTTTCAAAATTAAAATGTGACAGGAGGGAGGAAGAGGAAGGAAAGGAGGGAAGGAAGGAGGGAAGGAAGAAAGGAAGGAAGGAAGAAGGAAGGAAGGAAGGAAGGAAGGAAGGAAGGAAG